GATCCTCCACAGGGCACACATTTCAGATGTGGTCAATTGAAAAGCAAGGGTTGGAGTGAATATCAGTGATCTCTGAACTGTGAAATTTCTGTATTCTCTTGATCTTTCGCCTTTAGCCTGCACTGAAGCATTGGAGAGGAAAAAAATTCTTTCACATATCTGACTGGGTATTAGAAGCTGTTAAACAGTGGTTAAAACTGGGAGGAATGGAGGGAACTTTCCCCATTTTTTAAAGTTTGGCTGTAGGTCCTTCTGCCTGCAGGCTACAGTCACATTAGCAGTTGGAAATTGGATAAGGACAGCACAATGACAAATCCAGGTTGCTTGCAATAAGTTGCTAATCCCTTTGCTTTAATATTGGAGCAGCGTGTAATGATGTTTGGACATCACTCCAGTTTACTGACGACCCCACTGGGGCCAGCAATAGAACCTTACAACTGTCTAACAAGGCGTCAGGTGACTCCCGTCGTCACAGCAACGGACACTGGAATCTAATCTTCCCTCCATCCCTTCTAGCACCCAATAACGCCTAGATTATATAAGTGGCCCATCATTGCTTGGTAACTTGAATCAATTAACGTTAATTCGCACAATGCTATGATGTATTGTGATCACTTTCATTTCAGGGAAGGGGGAGAAATTGCTATAAGTCACCTAAAATGAGGTTGTCTGTGGTGCTGAGGTATTAATTGGGTGTCCATATTAAATGCAAAAGGAGCCCCATTGTGAAGGGAAAGTGGATGAGTGACTCTCTTGGCTGCTATTGACCTATCAGAAGAAGACAGTGCCCTTTTCCTTTGCTTTTATCTATTACAGTTTTCCCTATTGCGTGTCAAGTTGATGTATTATAAAAAATTCATTTGGTGACCTTTCACCCTCTTAGCAGATTAAACAATTTCACTTCGATGGCATCATTAACAGGACCCTGCATTTAATGATGATTTCTCTAAAAGGCCACGGAGATTCGATTTTAAGCTAACAGATTTATTGCACTATTATAACATATCGTAAAAAACTGTACCACCTACGGTCAGGTTTTAGGATAGAAAATGCTTAAGAGTTTATGTGGAGCTTAAAGTGGTATTACCTTGGGATATGCTGCAGCAGCGAGTCTCTGACCTCCAGTGAGAAGCTGTTTACATTTAATAAGAGATGTTTGCTCACAATAAACTTTAAAGTGTGTCAGGAACAGCCTTTCAGCGGGTGTTCAGGCAGTTGGTTCCCATCCCTTCGTCTCCAGACATCAATGTACTTATGTCAGAATCTTTGATGGGGTCTTTCCGTTTCTTTAACCCAGACTGCTTGCCTGTATCCTGGCCCTCATAAGAAAGCATTTAAGGAATAGTTTAGGCGAGAAATAAGATCTGGTAACAAAGTTAGAATTTTCCAATAACCTGGGACCCATAGAAGGGTAGAATTAATAGCATACATTTTTGAAATCTGATTTAAATTATTCCTTTTAAAAAAGGAAAGAAGCCTTAGCCACTCAGGCCAAGCAAACGAATAAATGATGATTGGGCTAGTGTGTGTGGAATTTCCAAAGAGTGATTCCAGCACAGAGGCCGGGTCTTAACTGGTAGATGGTCAAAGGGGCTTCTTAGGACCACATAGTCCCACTCTGCCTGCATTTCCTAGGATTCCCAGGAGGGAAAAAAATAAATTGCTTTCTGCAGAACTTTCATATTTTGTGATCCATAGTATTTACTCTTTTGCTATTTCCTTTTTTAGGACTAATCTTCACCTTTACCTGACATACACCTTCCATGGCAAATACTTATTTAGAGGGTGGTGATAGAATAGTTGACTCACAGACATTCAATGGGAGGTGGCAGGGTAGGCTACTTTTTTAAAAAAAAAATAAAATCCTCATTAAACCTGGCCTAGGCTAGCTATACCCATATAGCTCCTTTAATTGCCAACTATCTGTTACATGCCTATGATGTGTAATACATAATAGACGTAATGGAACAATAGGTGTATGATGTTCTTTTAATAAGGCTAGCTCAGTCATCAAAAATACCAAAAATACTTATATAACTACTTCGTATGTGTTCTATTTTATTGTTAAATCACATCAGCAATTAGTATGCTCCGATGAGGGGAGAAGCAATATAGTTCAGTAGTTAACCACTCTAGACCTTGGTCAACACTTACTATTTGTAAGACCTTTGGCAAGTTACTTAAGCCTTTTTGGACCTGTTTTTTTCATATATAAATAATAGTACCTACTTCACAGTGTCATTTAAAGATGGAATGAATTTATACATGAAAGCTCTATGGTAGTACCAGGTGCACAATAAATGCTCAGTAAATATTAGGTTATTAAGTATGAAATGTCTGATTTCCTTAAGTACTGAGTTTGACAATTGATATCTCTGATATTTAATTTTGACACTTCTTGCTTTATTTTTATCATGAAGGTATGTCCTCATTCTTTCAAACACATGGCTTGGCTTATGACTATCTTTCAATTTTTTTTTAGAGCAATTTTTGTGAAACCATGGATAAATCAAAACTATCTACTATAGTTACTCTTCCCAGGTGTTTTGTGCAATTAAAATAATCAATTAATGCCACAATTATTGGACCTATTCAGTGCAAGCACACTTGGAGAATATAAATACAAAGTTGTTGCAACGCTTAAGTGAGCTACTCTTTGTAAAACAGTGGTGTGCTGGAGTTTGCTCTGGCGCGTCTCTTCCCAACTCTGTTTAGGGATGCTATCATCATACCTTTCAATCAGTGACGGCATCAGTATTTATACTATGGAAGTTGGAAGACACTACAGATCAGAGAATTTTTTGGAAGAACTGGTTTAATAACCTACCGTTGAACATGTCCCTGCCCTCTAAGTATTTTATTCTGATAAGTTCCTTCACCGAGGCTCTTTTTGTCTTTGGCTTTGATCTTAATAACTAGTGATAAAAATATAAGTTCATAATTTGTGTTTCTCCCCACCCCCAAGTTCATTTTTTATTATGGCTAAGGAAACATATC